AAAAAAAAAAGCATACAATCAATCATATAATTTGAAAAGATGCAACGTCATAATGACACCTCAATAAATGTATTAAAAATACAAATCAAAGTTCAGTAATTTCAGAAAGTTGTTGCCGTCTTCTTGACTCATCCAGAACATCCTCTGCATCCACAGTGAGTGCACTCAATGATGCGACCCTAAGAAAACAAAAGAATAAATTAGGAACAGTGACATACAGTAAATAATGGGACAGCTTTTAGATGGAAGAGAAAAAAAAAAAAAAAAAAAACAACATCTGACAGATGTGTAGGACTTTGAATAAATTAAACCACCTGTGATGTAAGGGGTCAAATTGACCCCATCACTTTTTTGGTGAAAAAAAAGAAAAGATTAAACATTATATGCAGAATAATTTTCTGTTGTGTTTTACCGTTTCCTGATGAATCTCGCTCATCAGAGGCTCTATTGCCTCTCATGACAAATTATCTAATGAGTAAGTATCATTTATGCCTTGACAAATTTATATTTTAAAATATTATTATTACTGTACTGCATATGAAGGCCAATTTTAGTCCTTTTCAGAGTTTCATATGCCTTTATCTACTAATTCATACAATAATGTGTTTAAAAACACTGTACACACATTTTTACAAGCATCTATCAAAATGTTTTGTTGTTGGGTTTCCATATTATATGGGGACTTTCCATAGACATCATTTTTATACTGTACTAACTGCATTTTCATTCCCCTAACCCTCTGCATTTTTACATTTCCAAAAAATAAAATAAAAAGCTGTTTTCCTCATGGGGACCAACTAAATGTCCCCACAATGTCAAAAAATTCAGGTTTTACTCTGGATGATGTGAGTGATTTAGAGGAACAAATCTCAGAAACTGAGGACAATGTTTTTTTTCTATGTAAATGGAACAATTAAATAAAATATATAAAATACAAAAAAAGTCATGCTTTGTCTTAATTTATTTAAAATATTGGGTAGGTAAAGTGTAAGTAAATTAAAATAAATTATATTGTCAATTTGACTAATTTATTGATATATTTAAATATTTGGGGTCAATTTGACCCCACACATTAAAAATATGGTTGAAATGTGCACATAACAGGAGAGTTAAACGGCTTTAACACCGCATAACTTACCACTTCCAGCTTGCCTTTGGGAACTCTGCATATGCAATTTGTTCCAAAGTTTGTGTCACGGGTCTGAATGCACCGCAGACAGCACAGATTCTCATAGCCCTGTTTTTTCCATTTGGCAATCAGATTCTTGTCTGCATAGCCCTCTTTGATGCAATATTCATAAAGCTCTGCGAATGAAAATAAGTTAACATCTCACATAGAAACAGATGTCGAAATAAAACGAACACAACAAAACTGCACCTCCTCACCGCCATACCTCGACTGATGGCCTTTCTCTTGTAGAAAAGGTCGAAAATGTAACGGCTGCGTTGGTGATGAAGTCGGAAGAT